AAAGTTTGTTCCTCAGCAATTTCTTCGATGATGACACCGAAGTGTCAATCGGAACCCTTCTGGATGAAAAACAAAAAGACGAGGAGTTAGTCGACAGTTTTGTCAAACGCTTCCGTAACAAGGCAATGAATTGCAGAGATCCTGTTACAGAGGAGTTCATCCTGCAAACATGCCACAATAACCTCTCCATCGATGTCCTGGAAGCTCTGGGGGTCGTGCCATCCACAACTTGGAAGGAGTTAAAATCTCGGGGTGAACAAGCTGAGCACTTTCTTAAAAGAAAGAAAGCTGAGAGAGGCCAACCAATGACATCTGCAATCGTTGAGAATGCGACTCTCGATCCGAGGTTTCAAAAGGAATATTCTTTCGAAGATGATGAAGCTCCAGCCATCTTGGAATACCTCCTCGCCAATGACAAAATCGAACTACCACCTATTAAAGATCAGGATGGAGCTAAGAGGATTACGGATCCAAACTACTGTGCGTACCACAGAAGGGTTCTTCATCCCACCGAGATTTGCTTCGAACTCAAAAATAAGATCCAAGCATTAATTGACTCCGGCGTCATAATGGCGAAACAAGCCGATTAAAGATGACCTTACTCCATTGGATACACGAGTATAAACTGTTTCCCCAAACTCCATTGGGTACACGAGTATAAACTGTTTTCCCTCACTCCGAAAAGTATACGAGTATAAACTGCTCCTTAATACTCCAACAGGTATATGAGTCTAAACTATTTCCTTTCTTTCACGGGAAATTCCTGGAGAGCGCCATGCATAGTACTCTTAAGGATAACCTGATCATGCAGCTGAATATAATGATAGACCCAGTTTCACAAAGGAAGCTGGGGGTGGATGGTTCATGTAACGGGAAGTTCTCGAAAGAATGCTATATGTAATTTTCTTAGGGATAACCCGATCATTACAAACAAGGTGATAAACACTACATCCCCATGGTGATTTCCGAATACTCTTTTATTGAGATGAGATTTGATCACTCCTTTAGATCAATCTTCCCTCATAAAACTCACATTTGGTCAAACCTTTAAACAGTTAGGACCAAAGCCAAAATCCCCTCTCGATTCGTTCCATGAACGAGAGGTCCACAAATTGAACGATCAAACCTTTAAACAGTTAGGATCGTCTCAAATTCCCATCTTGGTCAAACCTTTAAACAGTTAGGACCAAAGCCAAAATCCCCTCTCGATGTTCTTGTTGTTTATGATAGAAACTTGATCATGATCACAGGGGTTGTTTCTAATTTCGTTTTTGACATATAAATCATGCTTAGGACATGTTCAAACCCTAGTTCGACCTTTATTTGAGGTTTCTTGTTAATTAATCATGTTGAAACCCTAGGTTGGTGATACCTAAATGAGATAAATATGTTTATATAAAATTTAACATCTGTTCAGGAGTAGTTTTTATCATGTGCCCAGCGAGACAGAAAACTCTGTCTCGCCGAGCGAGACAGTAAACTTTTCTGTTTTGCACTATGGAACAGTGGAATACTCCAATGGGTACACGAGTCTAAACTGTATTCCCACCCTCAACAGGAAGTTTCTGGAGAATATTAATCTGAATATTCTTAAGGATAACCTGAGGAATTCTCAATGGATATACCAATTCAATGGTAAACGCTGAATTCACAAGAGCAAGTATCAACTTCAATTCAAGATCTCGACAACGGTCAAGCGATAAACGCGACGCCGGGAGAACGTTAGCTATTCTACGAAGAACTGGATAGACTAACAGCAGAAGAGGTTAAACATTGAAGCCATTTACAAGTCCTTTCATACGATCTATTCAGCCAAGCATTGAAGGGATCGTAAGTAAGATCTATCTTATCCAAAGTATCTCAGACTCCTCTATAAAAGAATGAGTCTGGAATACTTTGGAGGGGGTATCTGTAGACGTCAAAAAATGCTAATAGATATCCAAATACAGCTCAAGAGGAGATCATCGAAAAATCAAAGAAAAAAAGGCAGTCTTTACTGTCTCTCCGCGCGAGACAGTCTTTACTGTCTCTCCGTGCGAGACAGTGTTTACTATCTCTCCACGCGAGACAGTCTTTACTGTCTCTCCGTGCGAGACAGTGTTTACTGTCTCTCCGTGCGAGACAGTGTTTACTGTCTCTCCGTGCGAGACAGTTCTCAAAGGCTCAGAAACTGTTTTATAAACCGCCGACACGTGGCCATTAACTGCCAAAGAACATGGAAAACGTCGTGGGCGAGAATCACGTTGACAACTGCCAAAATAACGGAGTTTGAAAACGTGGGAAGGCAGTTACAACAAAAACTGCCAGACGGTTACTGTTCACGAGACAGTATTTACTGTCTCGCGGGGAGAGACAGTAATTACTGTCTCAGCCACCGAGACAGTAAACACTGTCTCGGAAGTACTGTTCATCCTGGAGGCTATAAATACCCCCTGAGATCGATTTTTTGAGGGGGCGGATAAGAGAGCATCCACAGGCTGATTTCGGAGCAGAGAAAGAGCAGAGTACTCGAGCTTCTGGCAATTCCTTGAGATTCGAGCTTTGACTTGATTTCAAGAAGAACGACTATCTTACTTTGATAAGATATCGTTTCAAATTCTCACTTCGATAAACGAAGGAAGAATCATAAACCCCTCACGATTCAATCAGAATCTGTGATTTGGTGGTCTACGGGCTAACGCACTCCCGGCACAGGCAAAGATCCCACACAAGCAGCGATCCAAACAACGATCCTGCGTTTGTTTCTCAAGAGTTGTAATTTTCCTTTTGTTGTGTAAAAGAAGTCTTATATAAAGGCTGTCTCTTTTTGAGTTTATTGTAATCGAACGGAGATATAATGAATTCCACGACAAAACCAACTTTTGACGCAAACAATGAATAGTACTGTGGCACACACATGAGTATCCCAAAGGGATTTGACAAGTGTTGAATGATTTCACTTGAGTTGGAGTAGTTTAAACATATGTCAGATATCGTTAATGGGCTCAGCTCAGTACTATATGAGATAGTGCCTCGATATACCAGATTTATACAGTTTATACATATCTCAGATATCGTTAATGGGCTCAGCTCAGTACTATATGAGATAGTGCGTTGATATGCCAGATTTATACAGTTTATACATATGTCGGATATCGTTAAATGGGCTCAGGTCAGTACTATATGAGATAGTACATCGATATGCCAGATTTATACAGTTTATACATGTGATGGATATCGTTGATGGGCTCAGCTCAGTACTATATGGGATAGTGCATCGATATTCTATTTATACAGGCCATTGAGTCGGGTTTGGATGTTTTGTCTAGCAGTCTGTTCCGCACAAAGGTGCGATGAGGCTTGAAAGCCGTCTTCTAGGATACATATATGGTAGGCCGTCCCGCACTCATATTATGCATTAAGATCGTGATGAGACTAATGAACAATGTACATTGTTTTAGTATACCTACGGGGTAGTTAGTGTTGCATGATAATGCGATGAAATCAAATCTTGCAAAGAGTTGAAAAGAAACAATTATTTGATAGTCTAAGTTTTAGTGGATACCAAAAGTGTTTATGTCACTCTGCTGAATATATATATATATATATATATATATATAAGAATACCTTACTCTTGTGAGTACATGAGAATTATATGTTGATGTCCATTATGGTGTTTATTTTCTAGTGATGTTTCTTTCCATAGTTCGGTATTGATATTTAGGTGTCTACAATCTGAGACATAGGGTATATATATGAGGGTTTCCTTGTTTGGATTATTTCACTTGACGTACTACGTCTCGTGTTGTAGATTTCTAAATATTGATACGATTAGATATGAGGAAAATGATGTAGGTAGACTATGCTTAATAGATAGAGCCTCCACTACATCTAGCAGCCCTTCCCCTGGGGACGGATGGAGGTGATCTTGCTGTAGCGCTTTGATGCTCTTGTTGTTATTCTTTTTATTTTTATTTTCTTTTCAGGCGGTTCAGAGCATCGGAGAGTCGCATGATGACGAAGTTCTTGCATAGTCGCCGCATATGAGCTAGTAGATGAGACTCCACAGTAGATAGACCTTATATTCAGCTATTAAAGTTTTCTTTATTTTTCTCACTTTGTAAAGGCTGTGAACCTTTGTACATTCTTAGTTGATCCATGTCGTGATACATTCATATATTTCATGATAACAGATGTATTCTAGACTTGTTCATTGAGACGTGATTTATATATATATATATATATGATCGAGATACCTTACTCTTGTGAGTGCATGAGAATTATATGTTGATGTCCATTATGGTATTTTATTTTCTAGTGATGTTTCTTTCCATAGTTCGATATTGATATTTAGGTATCTACAGTCTGAGACATATGGTATATACATGAGGGTTTCCTTATTTGGATTATTTTGCTCGATGTACTACGTCTCGTGTTGTATATTTCTAAGTATTAATACCATTACACTACTAAATAATGAGGCATTCTAGACGGAAAATTCCGTCTAGGATACCTAGAATTCGGTCTAGAATGCGTATCCTAGACGGAATTCCGTCTAGAATACGCGTCTAGTATATTTCCGTCTAGGATGTAGTATTCTAGACGAAAATTCCGTCTAGAATACATTTTAGACGGATTATTCTAGACGGAATTAAAAACCGTCTAGAATACATCCTAGACGGATTATTCTAGATAGAATTTCCGTCTAGAATACTACATCCTAGATGGAAAAAAATTTCGTCTAGAATGAGTATCATAGACGGAAATTTCTGTCTAGGATAGTCATCCTAGACAGAATTTCCGTCTAGGATGTTTTTTAATTTTTTTAAAAAAAATTTTCAGAAAAGCAAGTATCCTAGACAGAATTTGAGCATCCTAGACGGAATTTCCGTCTAGGATGCTATGCTACATTTTTTTTTTGCAGAGTCTACTTTGAGTACATGTACACAATATTGAACAATAAAAAATTATATTCATATCCAACACAATCTAATTATATTCCAATATCAAATCCCATTATATTCAAATAATACATTCACCAAAATAGTAGAGAGATACATAAATTGTTTGCAAACTTTTACATAAATTATTTACAATGGCTATGACACTGCAGAAGCTTCTTCAACTCCTTCCCTATACATTTACTCAAGCCCTCTTCTTCTCCTTCTTCACCTTCTTCCTCATCATCCTGAGTGTAACATAAGGACACAATCAATGCATCAATATATATACAAACTAATCAATATATGTACAAACTGATCCATATTGCCATGTTACATGTTCAGTCAAAGAAAACAAATTTAAACATAAACATAGCAGATCAACAACAAAGCACTGGAAATGAACCAACAATTATGTCTACTCCATTAAATGCATTTCAAGTGAACGGTTGTTAGATTATAATCTACTGCATTTTCTTTCTTTCTTATGTGTATGAGTATGTTAGGGGGGATTAAGCAAAGGAGTGACTTCTAGGTTCTGGGTTTTTATACCTCCAACCAGTTCTACACTGGACTGTGGGATTTTATCTATATTTTCTTTGACATGCAGCAGATAGCTTTCAACTTTACTAAAGTGTATTCTAATCCATCATTCATATGTATGTTAGCATTCAACTATATGCTTATCCAATCAATTACAGACTCACTTCCATAATTGTGATCTATAGTGCTACTTTCACTGAGCAAAAAAAAAAAGAGGGTTATATCTGGGCAACCAGCCTAGTTTTATAATGATAGCCTCACTTCAATTCCCATCAAAATTGTGTTTCATAACTTCACCATATTACACTATCTTCATGTATGTAAATCTTGCATGTGTTTGTCCTTGTCTTTGCATGTGTTTGTGCACGCATACTGTGGATGTGTTTGTGAGATAGATGGTACAATCATCCTGATTGAATAGCAGGTCACAGTTATTATGATTCTGAAATAAATAAAAAACATGCTGTAATACTGAAACTCAACTAGCATTAGTAAATTATGAGGTATGCCAGGATCATTAAGAGGAAGGATGTTTGTTGACTCAATTTTGTGAGTCTTGACACTTTAAGATACAAATCATGTATAAATACTCGTAGACGTGAAGTGCCTTTCTTGCTTCAGGAGAAATACGATCCATGATTGAAGAATTAAAAGGAACCCATCCACTAAAAACTGCACTACCCCCCAATGTTTTAGGATAGAGCAATACACTTTCTAAGGTCAAGGCACCTGCCAAAACCATCATCAGCTCAGACTTATGCCAGCAGCTACCTCCTTGTCAATCAAACCATGCACATTTTGAACAGCTTCAAGAACTCCCTTTTCATCTTTTGGTGATTCCTAAAGTACACAAATCCTATGAGTAGAAAGTTTGTGTGTTGCTTGAAACAAGCACATATTACTAAAGCATAAGTGAGGTACTATTGTCTACTCATTTGAATCATATATTGCGTGATCCTCCAAAGAGAAGTAGGCATAGTTTATATGTAAGGAGATGTTTACTTCTGATTAGTAATTGGATGACATTCCAAAAAATGAAGATGCAATTGTGGGAGTGTTACTTACAACGGTTATAGGAATATCATGAATGTCAAACCATGACGGCATCAGAATATCATCTGCAAGAAAGAAAGAAATATATCAGAGGTAGCATCTAAATTTTTTTTTAAAAGCTGTCAGAACACTTGGTGTGTCAGAAAATTATGGTAACTATAATGTGCCACTACAATATGTTTACTGATTTTACATATCTAATGAAATGATAAAACTTTAAATTGGAATGGAACTACTAACACCAGTTTGTAAAAAAGAAATATTATAATAACAGACTATTTTCTTAGCGATCAAACTCTAGTTTCTAGGTAAACTAATACGAAGATAAATTACTGGACCAAACATTTTTCTCTTTCCCAAACAAATGAAAAGTTTAGTTGCGAAGTTCATAAATCTATTGGTACTCACTGAAACTTGTGTGCAGAAAGAGGATGAGCTACATTACTACATGCCTGTAGTTTTACAATGCTGCTTAGAGCAGTAGGAGGACCAATTAAGGTTAAAAAAAGAAAACTCTTTTCTTTCAGGAAGACATTCTTCTTTTGTAAGAGCTTCTTTTTCCTTTTAATGCAGAAGTTTCTATTTCTAGTCAAAGTTTTTTAGGTGTCTCGCTATCTTCTTTTGTAGTGCTTTTCCACTCTAGTGACTTAAACAGATAGATCTTTCTACAGGAAGATACAAATATTAGCTCTCATTTTCATTTATCCAACAAATATTTTTATTTCTAAACCTAGGTTAAAGAAAACAGCAAATGATAAAGTAGTTTTGCCATTATTACAAGATTAAAGATCATGGAAAACCAAATTGATGATATAAATTCCATATGCACTCCAACAATTCGCTTGGTTTCAGCATGGGCGGGTCAATAAGCAGCACAAATGAATTTCAAACTCTATATGAGCTTCCTAAGGCTACAAGTGAAATTCCACAGCTGCATTCATCTTCACATTAGAAGTAAACTAAGCTACAAATTGAAAGCTTTTACTTTTCCCCCACACCTTTTATTCAACCAGGATCCAAATTATTGTTCTTTTAGGTTTGTAATTCTACTCCTGCTTCCCAATTTCTTCGTCATTACCCCCCAAAATAATCCCTAACTCCTATTTTACTCAAAATCAGAGGAAAATTTGAGTAACCCTGGCTCACCTCCACAATAAACACAAGCACGGCGAACCCATCACCATGGTCACCGCCTACGACTACCCCGCCGCCGTCCACCTCGACGCCGCCGGCATCGACATCTGCCTCGTTGGGCTAGACTCCTCCGGCCGCCATGGTCGTCCAGGCCTACACGACACGCCTCGCCCAATCTCCCTCGACAAGATGCTCGTTCACTGCCGTGCCGTTGCTCGCGGCGCTACCCGCCCCCTCTGCTCGTTGGGATCTCTCGGCGCTCGGACTAGGTGGCGGCGATGGAGGAGGGCGAGCGCGCTAGGAGAGGGTGGGCTCCAGGGAGAAGGTGGAAGAAGGCAATGACGATTTGGTGGGGTTGTAGCCTAGTAGGGGTCCTCGTCTCCGGTCGCCGGAGCGTTGTTGCTCGACGAAGAAGTGGCTGTACCAGGCGAGGCCATAGCCCTGGAAGGGGACGAGAGGGAGAGCCAGAGTTGAAGAAGAGGGAGAGGATTTCGATTTGGTTGGGGGTGGGTGGGGGTGGGGGGGGGGATTTCGATTTGGGAGGGTTTCTTAATGTTATTTTGGGCGGAGCTTTTGGGTTGGGAGGGGGAATTTCAATTTTGGAGGGAGGGATTTGGTGTTTATTTTTTTAATACGAGTCAAAACATTCTAGACGGAAATTTCCGTCTAGAATTTATTTGTAGGCGTCAAAAAATACTCATAGATATCCAAACACAACTCAAGGCTGAGAAGAAAACAATGTACATGCAACGACAAAATACGCCGATAAGCAACCCATGGTGACGCGCCTTAAGCGCGGCAGCCTATGGTGACGCGCCTATGGCGCGCCAGTCCATAGTGACGCGCCTATGGCGCGCTAGTTCATGGTGACGCGCAAACTATAGGGGGGGTGCCGTGGCGGTTACAAAGCAGTTATATAATGATTCTCTAAAGTCCACGTGGTGCCATGATAAAAAGAAATGTGTGCTTATGTGGACAGGCGGTTAAATCACGAAAAAAGTGGTTAAAAGACATGGAAGGGCGGTTTTTAGCACGATGGGAACATAGCTGTAACGGTTTCTTTGGCCGCGCCAGTCTACACTGGCGCGCCCATAGCCGTGGCAGTTTGGACTGACGCGCCCAAAGAGCCTATACTCGATCAGTTATTTCGTTTCCATTTCCACTGTTGTGCACTCCTATCCCTATAAATACCTCCCTAGACACGAAACAAAGGACAGAGAGCAGATTGGGGTATGGAGACTTGCGCTTTTGATAATTTTGAGGAAGAGAGAGAGAATTTTCACCTTTCATAAACAACGTTTGGTGATTCCTAGAGATCTAAGCTCAGACTTGATCTTTGGAAGAGTGAACATCTTACATTGATAAGATATTCGCTTCAAATTCCTACTTCGATAAACTAAGGAAGAATATCTAAACCCCCTCACAATCTGTGAATCGGTGGTCCACGAGCCAACGCACTCCCGGCATAGGCAAAGTCCCACAAAACAGGAGTCGATAAACGATTTCTGTGTTATTTTCTCGAGAATTGTAATTTTCATAAACGATTTCTGTGTTATTTTCTCGAGAATTGTAATTTTCTTATTTTTCATTGTAATTCTCTGTAAACAATCGAAGTTTATTTTTCATTGTAATTCTCTGTAAACAATCGAAGTTTAATGGAATCATCAATGAAACCAATTTTCGATGAAAACGGTATCCTAGACGGAAATTTCCGTCTAGAATGCCTAGTTATATTTAAAAAAATTAAAAATATAAAAACCGTCTAGAATACTATTCTAGACGGAAATTTTCGTCTAGAATATTTTATTCTAGACGGAATATTCTAGACGAAAATTTTCCGTCTAATTTAATACAAACTAGACGAAAAATTTTCCGTCTAGAATATTCCGTCTAGAATAAACGATTTTCTACTAGTGTTAGATACAGAAAAAATAATGTCGGTAGACTATGCTTAATAGATAGAACCTCCACTACATCTAGCAGCCCTTTCATGGGGGACGGATGGTGGTGATCTTGCTTTAGCGCTCTGACGCTTTTGTTGTTGCTCTTTTTATTTTAAATTTCTTTTCAGACAGTTCAGAGCTTCGGAGAGCCGCAGATTGACGGTCTTCCAGCATAGTCATCGTCGTTTAGTTTTAGTAGTAAGACTCCGCTATGGTTAGCTTTCATATTCAGACATTAGAGTTTATTTTCTTATTGTAAAGGCTATGAGCCTTAGTACGATTCCTATTTAGTTTGTGATGAGACCTTTTTCTTTCAGTCATCTGATGTATTTCAGACTTACTAGTTGAGACATGAGTTCATTTATAAGATTTATCTTTCTACATCATGTCTACTGTGTTTATTATCTTCTTTTTGCATGTGTTGTACTTGCACTTTATTGTGATTCCACTAGAGGATATTACTGTGATTGGTGAAACATGTTATTGCATGGTGTGGGTGCATGGTAAGTTTTACTTCTCTGGGTTCACCTTAGACTGCAGCCATGTGTGAAAAAATGGGCGTCACAGTTATGTTAACTAATAAATTATATAAAACTCTTTTTTAATTGAGTGGCCCATTGTATTAACCAATCTTATTTATCTGCCTATACATTGTAGGCACTCTACAATTTATTCTCCAATGTGGCGAAATATAAGACAACCAATAAATATACACCCTAGTGATAAATACAATATCTACAAATCAAATATTATCTATCCACATTTACAAGTGGCAACTTAAATTTTGAGGATACATAGGAAGTTTAATAAAAAAAATCTACAACACTAAATGCAAAATATAAACTAATAATTTATTAGGGGGTTAGTCACCTAGAACTTAAAATTAGAACTGGGATAATCCGTGGGATAAATTTTTAAGGTGTTAGTCACATAGAACTAAAACAAAAACAAATTTTTATAGTGTTAGTCAAGTAAAACTCTAACAAAACTAGAATTGAGATAATGGTATAAAATTATCCCACATTTTTTATTTTTCTATACAAAAATGAGAGTTCTAGTCTCTCAAATTATTCCAAGTTTTAGCTTGGAACTAAGTGGTAAAAAACTAGAACTCATATTTATTTTATTATTTTGTATTTTTTATATTTCATTTTTTCTTTACTTCTTTTCTATTATGGTTATCACCATCATTATAATAATAATTGTCAATATCTTATAGTCTAACCAAAAGTTATTTAATAGTAAAAAACATTCTTGTAAGTAATTATCAATTAATAATAGTAAGTTTAAAATACATAAATAGTATTTATATCTTCAAAATTCATAAATATATATTTCATGATTATAGAAATTTGTCCCACGTTATTTTATCAAAATATCCCGCTTCACAAAATTGTTCTTATTTATCCCACTAAAATATCCTACTGGGGGGTTAGTCACCTAGAACTTAAAATTGGAATTGAGATAATCTGTAGGATAAATTTTTAAGGTATTAGTCACATAGAACTAAAACTAGAACAAAATTTTACAGTGTTAGTCAAGTAGAACTCTAACAAAACTAGAATTGGGATAATGGTACAAAATTATCCCGCTTTTTTATTTTTCTATACAAAAATGAGAGTTCTAGCCTCTCAAACTATTCCAAGTTTTAGCTTGGAATTAGGTGGTAAAAAACTAGAACTCATATTTATTTTGTTATTTTTTATATTTCTTTTTTTCTTTACTTCTTTCCTATTATGGTTATCACCATTATTAGACCATCATTATAATAATAATTGTTAATATCTTATAATCTAATTAAAATTTATTTAATAGTAAAGAATATTATTGTAAGCAATTATCAATCAATAATAATAAGTTTAAAATACATAAATAGTATTTATATCTTTAAAATGCATAAATATATATTTCATGATTATAAAAATTTATCCTATGTTATTTCATCAAAATATCCTGCTTCACAAAATTGTTCCTATTTATCCAACTAAAATATCCCACTAGCGAAAATATATTCCACTTTAACAATTATTCTATTTTGCATGAAAATATCCTAATTGACTAACAACTAGAGAAAAATTATTCCACTTTAACAATTATCCCATTTTGCATGAAAATGTCTCAATTGACTAACACTCCCTAAAACTGATGGAATATATTTTTGATTAAATTCTTCATGCATGAACTGAATACTAAACACTGTTCATTTATTTATCAAATTGAATATAACCGATAATAATTATCGAAATATTTGTTAAATATTTATCAAATATTATCTGTCCACATTTCCAATTGGGAAATAAATTTTTGGTGAGGGGCCCAATAGCCAGAGGAAACAATCACGCCACCCTATACAACTCCTCTCATAATCGTGAACACTCGCTTTTTTCACCCTCACGAGCTTGGTGCTCTTCCTGAAGTCCACAGAGAAACGAAAAAGAGGAGAAAAGAGGGGCGAAATGGCGGTGAATGGGGCTGACGTGGAGGTGGTCGATTTCGAGCCCGACGAGGACGATCTAATGGACGAGGACGCCGGCGCTGACGTGGACGCCGGCTCAACCGTCCCCAGGCTGAGATCCGCCATCGCTCCCGCCGCCGGCGATCTCTCCGGTGGGCCCAAGAAGACGAAAGGGAGGGGTTTTAGAGACGAAGCCACCGCCGATCGAAGCAGTCGCTTGGTGGGCCCAAGAAGACGAAAGGGAGGGGTTTTAGAGACGAAGCCACCGCCGATCGAAGCAGTCGCTTGGCGGGAAAAGACTTCGATTCCCTCGATTCCGATGGAGGCCCCGGCCCCCTTCGATGTATGTTTTAATTTCCTCTTTTAGGGTTTCAGTTGAACACAAGTTTAGGGTTTTTAATCATAGGTTGATTTTATTATAAATCTTCTCGAAAATGAAAAAAAACCCATAATTAGGGTTTACAAGAATAGCTGCATAGTTGTATTGAGATGGGATTTGATTGTTTTTGGTCTATTTTCATGCTGTTGACGCAAGGGTGCATATCCTTAAAGTTTAGGTCTTTTTTACTTGTATGTGGAATGCGACAGAAATTTGGTTGATTGTTTGACAATGACTGCTTAATTGCAGTGAGATGGAGCGCCCACACTTTGATTTTTATTTAGTAATATATTTGCATTGAGATGGATTCTTGATCTTGTTAGACTTTTCGGCATTTTAGTTCATAAGAAAAGTGGATGGGGAATTCCAAGCGGAGTTGACGATGAACTCAAACAGTTCTGGTAGTCATTGGTTAAACGGAGATGAAATAGGGGAGAGCTCATGACTCATTTAAGATTTTGTTTAAAATGCTGTATCTGATTCTCTTCTTTCAACCATAATATTACATCTTTCAATGATTCCGACCAACGAATCTGTTTGAATTTTCATCGTAATGAATATATGAAATACAGGTTATCTGGCCTCAGTTCCATCGTTTTTGCATTTTATTTTAGGCTTTGCTGCTGCAGTTTCTTTTCTTTTCCGGTATCTTATATCTTCTTCATGTGGACAGCCATAGAAGGATGGATTGTTCTAGTCACTGGAGTTCATGAAGAGGCACAAGAAGATGATCTCCACAACGCCTTCCGTGAATTTGGGCAGATAAAAAATCTGCACTTAAATCTGGACCGTCGCACTGGATTTGTTAAGGTGAGTGAGCTACTTCTCTTCTGATTATTTGTGAGAGATGATTAACTATTATGCAGAAGCATTATATAGCACGAGATATCTATTTTTCCCTGTCTTACAATTACTCGCAAGCCTCCTGTTCGTTGAAGTCCTTGGTGGAAAGCCAAGTAACGAACACTTTGATGCTTCATGCTGTTCCTTTGGCTAGAGCCTAGAAGTTATCTCAATCTATTTCATTATTTCATCTCCTAGTTTCATTTGGACGTTTGAAACCTGAGGAAGGTCACTATGACCTAGAGATTGTTGAATAGAAACATGTATTGTTAAAAATATAAAATATGGGACTGACAATGTAGAAGGTTTTTAGTGACCTCTTTGCATGCATATGACTATAGCGGTATCTTGCTTGCTAATAAAATGCGAACTCCAATATTTTATACATCTCTTTATTGACTATTTAGCATGTGCGAGATTAATAAATAAATATACGAGATGTTGCTTCCCTGCACTCTATTTTTTTATGACCTTACTATATAAATGTGCCAAACTTTTGGAAAGCTCTGGCTGATCTAGGCGCCAGACCTAGTGCCTAGGCGGGCACTTTTTGTGGCATATAGGCGTTTTTAAGACTTTATTCTTTTTAAGATGGTTGTTTCTACCATATTCAGAGGTGCGAGAAATACATCTCCGGTAGTAGAGTGAAAGATTGAGGGGATACATTGATAGAGGAAGGGTTTTTATCTGAGATGGACTTGAATATCATGGTCTGATCTGATTCATTTTGATCCTTGCATGCCATATGGTACCTACCTGAGCAACTGCTTTGCAGGTTGCTTGTTGCCTGTTGCCATGGATACATATTCATGGAGATTGCCGTGCCAATAAGCATTTGAATTGTGGAAGAGATTGAAGTGATTTAGGATGTCGGTTGGGGTCATATGTGAACAAACTTTAGGTGCTGAATCTGCTGATGAAGATGAAATCTCGGAGTGATAATGAGAAGGAAATGTTGGGAAAAGGATATATTCATCTGGTAGAATCATCTAGATCTAGTCTGGGTCAAATTAAACCTTTATGGAGCTGTCGATAACGTCAGCAATAAAGAGTGTAGTTTATTCGTGATGCTTCATGGAAGATGTTGCTGTCGGAAGGTCAACCTATGTACTTTACTGTTCCTACTGCGGAGTGCAGATTGTACAGGGTTGCCTGAGTGCCCGTTTTTACTGAGTCTGGTTTCAATGGCACTGGTTACGTTTTTTTGGTGCCAGACAATTTGGTTAAAATTTCTTGCATGACATTACTTGGCAGGAACCTCGTTCTTCTATATTATCCCATCTTTTCTGAGATGTATTTTCAGGTTGTTTTTTGTATGAAATAAGCATCATCTTTGCTTGAAAACTTGTAGCTTCTGTTAATGAAACTGCGGACAACGAAGCTTCCTCCATGTATATTTACATCATGCTTGAAACTGTATCATAGAAAAAGCTAGCTAAAATTAATAGCTATTCACATTTTCTTTGTGAGAAAATAAAGTAATCGAATTTTGCAACAAACATAAAAAAGAAGGAGCCTAGTTATTTGATTAGCTATTATTGATTATGGTTCAAAATAAATCCACTTTATCAATTACATGTTTGTATCATACCTTGGATGTACAGAAGTAAACGCATAAACTGCAAGTGTAATTGGGGTTATCTTGTGGTTGCAACAGTAATGAACCTTGAATTTACTTACATGTGTGCATCATTGAATGCATCTACTTTTTAATCTTATACATTTCTCATAAAGTTGAATATCATAAATGTGTAACTATTAGTCACTTCAATTCATCTATATGTCCTGATGGTTTAACTGTCAACAATATCTATCATGGAGCGTGCTCTGGCCATTGTATTAGTGTTCTTTCTCTTTTTTCCTGATCTGTGGTGCAAGGCTGTGAAGCCACAATGTATGTTCTGTAGAGCATGGTGATGACTGGTGGATCATATAAATGTAAGAGATTCTTGGGCAGTTTGTATGGAAAAGCTAACATCCAATGGCACACTTATATAGGAATCTAGTTGAAGCTCTTTTTTCTTCTTCAATTTTATCTGTTAGATATAGTGTTTAATAGAACTGTTTTTTCTGAAGGATTTTCTTTTTCTTTTATTTTTCGTAAGTGTGTCAGAAAACTTGTGATATGGAAACCGTGGACTGAAGCGTATAGTAACCATCTGTATTTCTATGATCTCCTGTGTTATCAAGTAGTCCTTTATCATATTATAATACTGCATAATCCATAAAATGTTTGGCTCTATCCACAGTTTATTTTCTTACATACTTTGTGCTTTGGATTGGGTATTGTGTTTCTTTTTACCAACTTTTTCATATGGTTTTAGATTCAACTTTCCCTTTCCTTTTTTTTTTCCTTTTTTTTTGGTGCTAATGAGATTTACCGTTCTTCGGTAAAGGGATATGCACTGATTGAATATGAGAGCTACAATGAAGCACATGATGCAATTCAAGCACTTAATGGGTCTGAGCTTCTTACTCAAACCATTTATGTTGACTGGGCATTCAGCAATGGGCCTTTCAAGCGTAGAAACATGCGAAGGAGGTATTCTTCTCTTACCTCTGGTTTTCTTCAGTTTTTCTGGAAGAAAATTTGTAGTTTTATGGAAATGCTCTCTCTTTGCACACAGTCACCTGTTGTTAAGGTGCCGAAGGTAACATACCCCAAAAAATGTGGGGTCTGTTGCAAAAACTTGTCCTCTCAAAAGCTTTATTTTTGTGGAAATGTTTTCTTCTTATTTATGTTTCACTGTTTTGTCGATCCCGTATGGTAAGGAATCAGAGCTAGTGGATTGTGCTTTGTGTTAAAGCAGATAAGTGCAACTCTGTGAATGTAGTTGATGCACATACCCGAAAACGTGTTCTTTGCACTTGGAGAAGTTAGAAAAATTTAGTAAGGAACAGAATATACAGATGTCCACTTTATAATGCAAATATTTTCAGTCCATATACAGTGTCTAACTGTAAAAAAAGATTTTATCTGCATTTAACTTAAAAGCACTAGCAGTTTGTTTCTTATTTAATAAGCTAAAAGTTTGCAGTAGAATGGGTACATATGAGTTTCACTAATACGGCTTCTCCCAAATTGGTTCTGCTATTGAACACAATTTTGGTTGAGAAAGACCGAAAAGGAATTTGACCAATGTTTTGTTACTGACTGACAAAATGGTGTAACCATTTATGGATTGGTGCTGCATTCCTGACCATGTTCACTACAAGAATAGAATGCCATGTCATGGAAGCATTACTGCTTGTTGGCAAGTAGTTAAAATTAGTTCACAGTAGGCTGGTGCAGCAAAGGAGCAAGCATCCAAGTATATCCTAAACCATGCAAGAGTCTGTAAAGCTGGTTGACATGATACATGCTATGAGATTTTGTATTAAAATTTGGGGACAAAGAAACTGAATGCCAAATGGAACTAGATCTCCAAATCAATTGTGAATTCGTTACCGAATTGATGTTACAAGAATCAGTAAAAAAATAATGCCTGTTGCTACTTCTACTAATTATTGGTAGAATACTTTCTTCCTATTCAAGCAACAAATTTTCATTACGTTTCTGAACATATGCTTTGGTAGATTAGCTCTATTTTCCTTTCTTTAGGAAGCATTTATTGTACATTTGGTGTGGCAATGTCATGCTTCTGTTGCGCACATCTAAATGATTTCTGTATCAATTATGTTCAGTTTAGATCATATAAAACACCTCTTAACAATAATGAAACAATAGTCAAGCATGCACAGTAAATTAGTTGGGAATGTAATAATTTGAGTATAATGATATGAAAAGGGGGTTGCGTCCAGCTTTCCCTTCTAATGCTGGGCAACCTCACAAACTCCTTTGTAACGTTTGCGCTCTTTTTGGAATATGTATGCCTTGCATTTTTTTATTGTAAATTGCTTTGGCCTAAAAATTACTGGTAGCCACCTATTAACTATAACAAATACATAATCAAGTGTGATCAATATGATTAATTTGCGAAACTTCACAAGTGAACTAAATGACATAGAAAAATCTTTTCTGGTTACTTTTTGATTCTAGAGTACATCCATTGTATAGAAAAATATTTTCTGGTTACTTCTTGATTCTAGAGTACCTTCCCCATTGTAGTGTTAGAGCTCCACTTAGAACAGTCTTGGAATGACATAGCTTGGCATTCTGTGGCAATCAGCAACATTTTTTCTACAGTAGGAATTCAGGCATTAATGGACTTTGAATTTTGGTAAAGTGAATGTGCTATTGCTGCCGTCTGTTGGTATCTGATGGCTCACTATTTGAGTCTCTGACCACCGCCTTATGATATCAACTCCCTACTCATGTACCCCACTCATTTCCTTTCTAGTACTATTTTCTTATATCTGTGTCTATCTATGAAGCACGGACACGCATAACATGAAGCCGTGTCGTGTTGTGTCCGTGTCGGACACACGTGTCGAACACACGTATCCTATGTATTTTTTAGGATTTGCCTCGTGTCGGCGTGTCGGATGGCCGTGTCGGATCCGTGTCCGTGCTACATAGGTGTCTATTATACCTAACCTGAAACTCTGTTGCGCCAAGGTTTGAACTCCTTTGTTACCTTTTTCTCATGGGCAAAAAGAAAGCCTTCTCCCTAATACACCGTTCACCACCTAGTATACCCTCTATAGTATCAGTAAAGGTTTGTAGATGGTGGACATCGTGTCCACAGTGGATTTGGGAAGTCTATATGTCAGGTAGTGTATCAGGCAATGCTGTTAGAGACGGAAGTTGAATAATTGATATAGGCAAATAGGAGACGAGATATGCATATCTTATGTAGATAATCACTAATAAAGCAACTAAAATGTTATGTATCCATTAAAAATATTACGACCTAAGTGTTGAGCTGTTCAAGCAATATACGCTCATGGCATGCAAGATGCATAATGCAAAAGTGACTGGAAACTGAATGTAGAGGATATGCACCAACTACGTAGAGATTAGCATATTTTGAGGAAATAACTCGAGTATTAAGATTTAAAGACCTTGAACAAAGGGGGGAAAATTATATCATGTGAAAATTGCCACCTTGTCAAATGCGGGATGTTGAAGACATTATTAAAAAAAACTTTAAACAATATTTCCCTTCATTTCTTAGTATTAAGTGCTCAAAATCAATAGGTTGAATATGTGGGCCAACGCATCCTGCACTGCTCCAGCACCACCACCCTTATTCTCGCAGTTTTTGTTTTTCGGCGGGGTGTCTTTTGTGAAAGACCCAACTGTTATTCTTCAAATAAATGAAAGGATCTCCAAAGGGAATTTTCAACCTAGGTTAAAAGAATACATATATCATCACTATGTTAATGAAATAGGATCTCTTGGAATTTTTCAGGTCCATTTGTGGACAAACTTAAGTGTTACTCAAATAAATGAAAGGATTTCCAAAGGGAATTTTTCAACCTGGGTTAAAATAATACATACAATATGAGACATTTTGACATTTACTTTATCTGTCCAATGTGTATTATATTTTAATTTCATGATGATTTTAGTTAAAATAGCCTTTTTCCAGTCGTCCTAATGTTGTGGTATTTCTGTCTTCTTTCTTCAAATAGATCCCCACGTGCACACCGTTCAAGGAGTCCACCAAGGAGGAGATACTGAGAATTCTTGATACATTTTGTCAGAGGTGGTGATCAGTGTGTTTACATGATTTGCTCGACTCCTCGCAATGCCTTTGAGATGAATGGTTTCATATGAGTATATATTTGGTTACCTCAGTTATTGTCTGCTGATGTATCTTTCAACTCATGGTGTTTATTATCCAGACTTGTTTATCTATCAGATGATTTTGCACTTTGCGACCGCTGTATGGTTTGAGGAGTTGTACTAATGACATGCTTTTCGAGAAGAATGCTAGTTTTTTTTACCGTTAACATTGTGTGTCAACAACATTACCTGTTAACTACTTTTCTATGCTGTGTTTATCTGGTGACGAATCTGAGTAGTTTCACGGGCATTCAAGCTTGAAATTATTCATCTGTGGCGCATGGATGTTTGATCGGTGCAATATCAAAATTTCGGTACCTGCCTACTTTTGTATTATGCCTAAGGGCAGAAGAGACGCGTGCGTCAACAGCAATTAAGCCTGTCGCTGTATTATATTTTCGAGATCATCTGTGATTGACAGGGTATTCACATATTTATGCTGTGTAAAGTCATTCCATAATCATATATTAATGAGAATGAAAAAAGAGTCTTTTACATTTCAAATTAAAGTACACTGATGTCAAAGAGTGTAGGAATCTGAAACCGGGACACTCTCTATTAATCCGATAGCTTAGGCAGGGTTTAACCCTTCACCGAGCCGCCAAACGCTAAATATGCGGTTAAAGGGTTTAAAATTGACCCTTGATAAGCGGTTAACATCACTTATAACCCATTTGAGGCGGCTTAAGATCAACCCGCGTCAGTAACTTAACCGCGACCGAGGAGCCGGCGATGGGGGAACAAGCAGCATCGGGATAACAGCTCCTCTCTGAACTCCCCTTCTCTCCCTCTCCGGCGAAGAAGATCAAGACCAAGTCCCGACGGCGACGGCAGCCACAGCGACGAGAAGAAGCATCTGCAGCGACGGCGGCTGGCCCCCCTCGCAGGTATGCCTCTGCCCCTACCGTCCCTCGCGAGCCCATCCCCACCTCCACTCGCTCCTCCTCCTCCACCACCTTCCCACTCCCTCGCGCGATAAGAGCCCTCTCCACCCTCCCCCTCTCCTCTCCTCCCTTCCGCGACCTCCACCCCGTCCCCCGCAAGCTCCGCCCACCACATCCCACCCCTCCTCCAGAACCAAAGAGCAGCGTCCCTCTTCCTTTTCCCTCCCCTCCCCTCCTCCCTCTGCCCCCTCCCCCTCTCCTGCTGTGCCCACACAGGCCCCACTTTAATCGCCTTCGACGGCACGTGGAGGCAGGCGAGGGAGATGGTGACCGCCAGCATGCCCTTCTTGAGGTCCATATCTGCGACCCACGTGGTTCTGGAGTGTGAGGAGGGGGTGGAGGGCCCGATCAGCTACGAGAGAGAGCTCGTGGTGAGGAAGGAGCCGTTTGAAGGGTGCGTCAGCATGATGGAGGTGGTGGCAAGGGCGCTGAGGGTCCTGGAGAGGGACGAGAGGGTCGGGGCCGAGGTTGAGGAGGCGCTGCTCCGGGTTCTGAGGGCCATGGTTGGGTTCCAGAGGGAGCACTTGAAGCCGGGGATGAAGGCGAGGGTCAAGATGAAGAAGAAGAAGAAGGAGAGGAGGAGGATCGAGGAAGGGGACGATTAGGACGCCTGCATTCTGTTCGACGAAATGACTGACAGAGCGGCCGCGATAGATGGTGAGCCCGATTTTTTTCTAGCTAGTCCGTTTGTTGGAAACTATATTGACTGAGGCTCTAGTTTGCCTACCCAAAAACTTAAATCTAATGAAATAATCGCGAAAGCATCTCACGAGTCACGAGTGTTTCGATGTTCAACCTGATTGTAGCAATTTGTCACGTGAGCAGTTGTTCAATATCGCGGTTGAAGGATTCCATTGAGCTCAGTTATGTTCGATAAGGATTCTAGAATAATTCCTAAAAACTACGCAACCGTGATCAATGACTCATAACGATATAGAATTTATTGGCAACAAAATGACATACTTGAACCAACGCCGTTACATCTAGCATTAATTGTACTGGAAGTACACCCCGAGAACAAAAGAACATTTGAAACTGATCATTGATAATGGAAATTGCTGATATCCCACAAATTCTACGGTCTGTATATATCTTAAAATGTTAATATTAGTGACAATCGGCTTACTATTTCAACGTTGGTGGCTGCATCTCATGGTCCCATCTTTACAGATTACAGTGGACCATACATCAGATTGTGCAGCTCCTTGTACTCTTGAATCGTCTTATTTAAGAGTAGACCGACGATCATTGACTCCTCTGTGAAGGTTCGGTTGTCTCCGAGAAGTAATGATGACTTTTTAGTGTCTCATACTTATTATTATTATTATTATTTGTAAAAGTAGGGATAATTTTCATTATTATCACTAGCAGGTTTGCACATGCAATTTATTTTTATCTTGTATTTCTCTTCAATTTTCGATGTTGTGACTTTATCAATTGAAATACAAATCCATTATGTTTTCTATTATCTTCGTCATACCAAGCTTATCATTTAGCTAGAAATTTTAAATATAATAACTTTGAAAATGTGCATATGCTTATTAAAGAGAGAAAAGAATAACTTTGAAAATGTACATTAGCAAAACGTGCATGTGTGCAATTAACTTCTGTAAAGAGAGAAAAGAATAACACTCCTTTTATTTTAAATAAAAAAATTAGCAAATTTCTCTTGTAGTTGTGATTTTATAGTTTTTGACTTGGATACTTAAAAGAGTAGAAGTTATTCAATTGCTTAAATAAAATTTGGTGTTGTAATATTTATCCGCATGAAAACTGTCTATTTATACTATATAGAAGGAAGAAGATTGATGAAGGAGAATTATTTACAAGAACTATGATATTAGCAGGAAAATCTAATATTAGATTTGTATCCTTAAAAAAGTAGAAGTTATTCAATTGCTTAAATAAATTTGGTGTTGGAAATTTTATCCACATGAAAATTGTCTATTTATACTATATAGAAGGAAGAAGATTGATGAAGGAGAATAATTTACAAGAACTATGATATTAGAAGGAAAATGTCATATTAGAAGTTAATTTTTAAATATTTTTCAATAGAACACATTTTTATATGTTTTATATTACACTTTTAATTTGTAGGTCTAATTAATTAATAAATATTTATTAATTTTATATTTTTAATTTTATTTTCATAAAGGATATGTGTAAAATGATTTTTTGAGAGAGGAGGAAGACTGAGAGGTAGTGGGAGGAAGGACAAATCTGTTGAGAAAGAGTTACAGGGAAAATGGAAGAATAACGATAAAAAAGATTTGAATGTTGGCTTCTAATATAATTGTATAGATATTTTATATTTACAACTTCTAGTTTTGTATGTTTAATAAATTAAATAATATTTTATTAAATTTTATTTTTCTATAAAGGATATGTGTAAATGATTTTAGACAGAGGAGAGAGTGAGAGGGAGAGTAGGAGGATAAGGACAAAATGATGAGGGAGTGTTATAGGGAAAGTGGGAGAATAAGGACCAAAAAGATCTAAAGAAAATTTCCACTGTAACAACTTATGTTGATTTTTAATATAGCAGTATAGATTCCTCAGAAAGCTTAATTTTGAATAATAAGAATCATTTGTTTGTTTGTGGTCTGCTTGTGAACCAAGAGAGTTTCTACTTGAGGCCAAGACAAACTCCATTACTAGATAAGCCATGAAGGGCTTATCTATTGAAAATGATGTTTGACGCTGAGATTTATTAGTTCTAGAGGGGATGTTCAGATTGAACGAGAGTATCCGGGAGAGAAATCATTTCTTATTTTCACATTACACTTCGTAAGGATAAAATTAGAGTTCTGGACCAAGCACTGCAAATGCTAATCTTCATCCGTAGTCAATTTGTAGATGAGCGTTATATATTTTTGTGCCAGTACATGATACTTCAAATTCTTTCTAAATTCTTCCCAAAGAAGCTTTATTTAAATAAAAAAAAAAAGGAGAAAAGGGAGCCAGAACTCTAATATATTGATGGCCTGATTTGACTTGTTTATCCTCATCACAAGGAAGAAGACACTCGACCAATTCTTTCAAGGTTCTCAATAGTTAAATTCTATGGTCATTTGAAGTTTTCTCCTATTTCTTTATTTCTTTTCTCCTTTTTCATTCTGCCCTTAAATATGATATAATAGAATCAGAGATTATGCTCATCAAATAGTCTAATAGGTATGCTAGGAAGCGCTCGCACACACGCGTACACACACACAACTTTATTTGTTTGACTAGAAGCTACATCGTTCTGCTTTATGCATTGATTGCTGTTAGACAAACTTTACATTACATAAAACAATAAATCAAGAAAGCCTACATATCTATACTTATTTGATTATACATTTATGCTCCAACCTATTTTCATAGATGCATCAAGCTCAGCCAGCACCCTGTGTATCCCTATAATTTACATAATGACTCTGGAGTAGTGTGTCTGGACATTAAAGATACAATTAAGCTTTTAATATGTATCCATAGCAACTGCATTTTCTTCCACCTGAACATACCGACGTAAATTTAGTACACTTCAAGAAAGATTAAAAATAAAGCAAATACATAGCTGTATCCAAACTTAATACTGTATATTAATTTCGCACACAATTTAAAACTTCCCACAAAGGCAGATAATTTATCTGATATCAGAGTAGAAGTAAATGATCAGATGACGGGTTTGGGTTTCCTGCTTTACAGGAATTTTGTCATTCTCTCAGTTTTCTACTTAGACTAGTTAGCATACTTGATACTTTCAATATGAAATTTAATCCAACATTTCAGCATTTTTCATGTACTAATGCTTGATAGGCTATGGCATGATCACATGAACTTGTATACCCACAAATTTTCATTAATTTTTCAAGGCGATTGAGAATTGATAGCTTTTGCTAGATTCCTAGAACTTGTGATAGAAATTTGAAGTGTCTAAAGATATAGTATTACCTGGAAAGTGGCACCACACAGCTCTTCATCAGATGCTAAGACCGCCGTCACTTTATTCTTTGGCTTCTCATAACTTTTCAACCCTCCAAGATTATTTGAATAAAAACACCCTACAATGTAGAAATGTGGCCATTATGATGAGAGAAAAACCTTACATAAATACTTAAAGAGTCCAAATTGCAAGTTTCAGTTACCTTGAGGAAATGGTGCGAGTGATTTGCCACATGAGCCTTTAAGCAGATCAACATCATTGCAGAAGGCTATGCATCCATCTGCAGTTATTCCCCAATACAAAGGAACCTTGCCATTTTGATCCTGTTACAGTACGATAATTAATCGTGTTATGTATATAATATTGAAAATACGTCCCAAACACTATATATAGGCAATACTCACAGAAGATACGAATAAAGTTGAAGTGGCTTTGTCGAAGATCACAAAAGAGAAATTGCCATCAAGTTGGCCAAGCATGAAGTTGGCCGGATGTGGAGCTCTATCTCGTAGTGTCTTATAAGCCTCTATTATCAGCATTACCTCATTTGCTCCCTTGGATAAGCCATAGTGTTGCCTAAGATGGCCAAGGTTATCGAGCACCCCTTCGAATATGCAGAATATGTCATCCTTGGTTGCAAACGATCTGCAGAAATGTTAACCATGTGACCGATGGAGTTGAGCTATTGAAAAGAAACTCACGAATAATTGCATAACTGAAGCATTAAAACACTAATATGTAGGGGTGTTAACGGAGCGGATACGGCTCGGATATGGCACTTACCATATCCATATCCGCTTACCCAGGGGTGTTAACGGAGCGGATACGGCTCGGATATGGCACTTACCATATCCATATCCGCTTACCCATCTCAGATACGGATACGGATATACGTTGGTAAGAAAAATTCATATCCATATCCGTCAAAATCGGATACGGTTACAGATATAGATGCGGATATATAAATGTATATGCATGCGGATACATAAAGGATATGAGAAAACTAGATAGTATTCAGAAAAATATAGTCATGTGATACAAAAAGAGTTCGTTAATATGTTCATTATGATTGAAAAGCTAAGATTAGACATCTTGATCATCAAAATTAACCACAAATCCATAATCTAAGAATCAAAACTATCGTAAGAGTATTACCAATATGTATTCGGATTTTTTCGGATACGGATACGGATATTTCACTACAAAACCATATCCGCAACCATATCCTATCGGTAATAGATTTGAGTAACCATATTCGTATCCTAACGGATACGGTTACGGATATTTCCTCGGATACGGATACAGTTTGGCACCCCTACTAATATGTGTCATGTTTATGTGGCTTGATGTCTGAAACACAAGAAATGATGGAGCTTTTGATAAAAGTGTGGATGAGAGAAAATATGTGTAATTATCAGGAAGACCAATTGATGAAACAACCGAGAGAGATTGATGGTGATTGTCGACAAAAATTAAGGAAGTAAATGAGATACCAATGGTTTGTGATGCATGAGCAACAATTATGTACGTGAACTTCACTGGCTAAAAGCTACGAAACACGAATAATTTCATAAGGCTGAATCTCTAACAGAGCGGATTCAAGTAGATAAAACAAGAAACAGAAATGAGTGCCTCTGTCCAATGAGAAGGGCAACATACTCTCTCAGCTTATTTACATCCCAAATTAGCTAGTTTTTAATTCAAACTTAAAACATTAGGATTTCCCAACTTACGAAAAACTAGCTTATAACATCACCTAAATAAGCTAGGTTTGACCAAGCAAATTGACTTTTCTTATTATATAATTTTTATAAAAAAGTTATCATACAAATCAAAAGCCATAAAAACCTAATAGCCTAATATAACTTCAAAACTTCTAAAAATAAGCTCCCCCAAGCGCCCTCTATATATGTTTTGTTTCCTCCTGAAAGCTGCTACCTTAGATTTCCAAAGAAAAAAAAAGGTTTGCTTTTCTATTTTTCATTTATCATCATTAGTTAGTATTGAAATATTAGTTGAGTTTATTAACTATTTTCATTCTATTTTTGCGGAGTTAGCCTTTCCAAAAACGTAAAAGCTTATAAAGATCATATGGTATTTTTCTTTCTGTTTCTTTGTTTTTCCTTGAATAATTAGTGAAAGGACTTCCCAAGAACAGAAACTTCTAGCTAGGTGAATTTTGAAAATGAGTTTGTAAAAGAAACAATCGGTAAGTAGTTTTTGCCTACGGCATGGAAAAATAAAGAGGAATTTTTTTCTTCTAAGGGCCAGAGTTGTCTTCATTAAAAACAAAATTAAAGAAATCTTACATAAATTTTATGGCAAAACTTTGTAACAAAAGTTTTATTTTTCTTACGCCAAGAGCATAAAAAGACTTTAATGAAGTAATGAAGTCGTACATAAGGATAACATAATATCCTTATTATAGTAAGATTCATGTCCTTATAGTAAACTGAAGGAAAAAATAAATAAATAATATTTTTTTTAACTTGCAAACTAAACCTGGGACAAAAGGGGGACTGATTGGCATGAGAGTAGGCAAGGTGAGCAAAGGAGCCGATCTGCAGGCACACTGCAGGCTCATAGTTACGCTGGAACCGGTTAACGAGCTCTGACGCCCTTGTTTTAGGCGACGGAGTTCTGCTCCCTGCAGCCACCAACTCCGGCGGTGCCTCCACCATCTCTCCACTGAACACACCCAACATCTTCACCTCGCTTTCTCTGTAAATGAAAATAACAAGCAGAGGATATGATAGAAGAACTAATGGAGGAGGGGTTGTTTTCTTATATAGACTCTGAGTCATGGGTATTGTTGTCCTTTACGAACCCGTCTTTCATTTTATTTTATTTTTACCTTTTTTTTTTGAAAAAAAGTTATGGTACATTTTTTCTATTTTTAAGGTTAATTGCTCGTAGCATTGATGCACTGTTGTGTTGTGTCACTTAAAATCCTTTAAGTTGTTGAAAATAAACTTGATTAAATTACCAATTGATGAAAATATAAAAATTTAGAATATGTAGATCAAGTTCAACGGAGCGGATTATCTACGATGTATCTTAATCAAGTGATCATCAATGACTAAGAAACTTAGTGGACGTCCACTTAAGTTGACATAAGTTTTTCTATATATTATTATATATATATATTATATATATATATTTATATATAATATATATTATTATATATATATATAGTTTGTAAGTTGAAAATGATCAAGAAAAGAAGAAAGAAAAAAATTAATAGAATAATTTTATCTTCTGAAAATAGTAATAGATTAATTTTATCCTCCTCTAAATTGTTTATCCTGGGCAAAATACTATTATCAAATTGGTACCAGAGCTGAGATGAGTTCCAATGGAATGATCCCGTTTGTTGCTCCTAAACTCACCAAGAAAAATTATGAAAACCGGTGCATTCAAATGAAGGCTCTATTAGGATCAATAGACTGTTAGGATGTTGTAGTGAAAGTTTTTGAAAAGCCTGAAGATGAACATGCGCTATCAGCAGCACAAAGAGACTTGTTTAGAGAGCCCGGTAAGAAAGATAGTAGAGCCCTCTACTTTATTTACCAAGGAATTGATGAATCGACATTTGAGAAGATCTCTGATGCGGCGATATCAAAAGAGGCTTGAGAGATACTTCAAAACTCCTATAAGGGAGTAGAGAAGGTGAAGAAGGTGTGAATCTAAATACTTCGAAAGGAGTTCGAAGATTTAGAGATGGAGGAAAGTGAACTAGTTTCTAACTATTTTACTAGAGTCTTGGCCGTAGTGAATCAACTTCAGAGAAATGGTGAGAAGATCAAAGATGTTCATGTGGTGGAGAAAATTCTCCGATCACTTCCTCAGAAATTTGACAATATTGGTTGTGCCATCGAAGAGTCAAAAGACTTGGAGAAGATGACGATTGATGAACTCTTGGGTTCCTTAAATACCCACGAGAAAAGATGTAGCAAGAAAAATGAGCCAGTGGAGAAGGCTCTTCAAACTAAGCTTTCTTTGAAGGATGGCCAAGAAGATTCAAAGTAACGACGATCGTGGTCGTCAAAGATTTTGAGGCCGAGGACGCAGTTTCTATGGCAGATGAACTCACAACAACTTTGAAGAAAGAGATCAAAATTAAAGATCTTTTAGAAGCCATGGACATGGTAGATCTAATGGAGACCGATGGAAGCCACAAGTTCAATATTTTAAATGCAAGAAGTATGATCAATATTCTTCTGATTGTTATTACAATCAAGTTGAAGAGAAGGTGAATTATGTTAAAAAATGAGATGATGATAATATTCTTCTATTAGCATTCGGAGGAGATGGTGATAAGGAGGATGTTTGGTATCTTGATATTGGTGCCAGCAACTATATGTGTGGCAAGAGAAGTATGTTCGTCAATATGGATGAATCTGTGAATGACAATGTCACTTTTGGAGATTTCTCAAAGATTTCAGTAAAAGGCCGAGGTAAAATTCTTATTCACCTCAAAAATGGAGAAGAAAAATTTATCACTGATGTTTATTATGTGCATAATATGAAAAACAATATATTGAGTTTGGGACAGCTCTTAGAAAAGGGCTATGATTTTCATACAAAAGATCGTATTTTTTTTCTTCGTGATCAAAAAAGGTAGATTGATTGCAAAAGTACAAATGTCGAAGAATCGAATGTTTATGCTAAACCTTCAAGGTGGATATGTGAAATGTTTGAAGGCTTGTACCAACGATCTTGCTTGGCTATGGCACTTGAGATTTGGGCATCTCAATTTTGGTAGTCTAAAGACATTGGCAGATAGAAGCATGGTGAAAGGGTTGCCGATAATTGATCATCTCGAGCAACTCTGTGAAGGATGGTTAGCATCATCGAGCTACTTTTCCATCGAGCTACTTTTCCAAAGGAGGTTTCATTTCATGCGTCGAAGCCATTACAACTTGTACATACTGATGTGTGTAGGCCAATCACTCCGACCTCAATCGGTGAGAATAGGTATTTTCTTACCTTCACCGATGATTTTTCTCGAAAGACTTGGGTTTACTTCTTGAAGAACAAATCTGAAGTGTTTTCTATGTTTAAGAAGTTCAAAGCTAATGTGAAAAAAGTGACTTTTATCTTAAAGCTATTAGATTTGATCAAGGTGGAGAATTCACTTCAAATGAGTTTGAAGCATATTGTGAAGAACATTGAGTTCGACATTTTCTGACTACTCCTTACACTCCACAACAAAACGGCATTGTTGAGAGGAAGAATCGCACTATTTTGAATATGGTAAGAAGCATGTTGAGTAGTAAGAAAGGTCCTAAAACCTTTTGGACTGAAGCTGTTTCTTACGCTGTGTATATCATCAACCAGTGTCCAACTCAAATTCTCAAAAATATTACTCCACAAGAAACCTGGACCGGTTACAAACGAAATGTGAGCCACTTCAAGGTGTTCGGCAGTATTGGCTATCCTCATATTCCAGAGCAGAAGAGGAATAAGCTCAATGAGAGGAGTATTCCATATGTATTCATCAACTATGATTCAAGAACCAAGGGTTACAAGATGTATGACCCATGCAGTAAGAAGTTCATTACTAGCTGAGATGTTCAATTCGATGAAGAGAAATCATGAGACTAGAGCAAGGGAGAAATTTGTAGTAGCCCGATTACTTTCATTAATGAAGAAACTGAGATCGGAAAGGGAAAATTTGCAAAATAGACCGTTTTTATAAAGTAATTAGCGAAATAGACCGTTTTTTAAAGTAATTAGCAAAATAGACCGTTTTTTGGCAAAAGAGGTCGATTTTGAAAAAGAGTTCAGAAAACATACGGGACTACTAGTCCCGTATGTTTAAAGTTAACTAATCTCATGATTAGTCTACTCAGAAAATATACGGGACTACTAGTCCCGTATATTTTCTGTTTAGTTAACAAAACGTACGGGGCAAGCCAAATCCACTACTAGTTTGATGTAAGATTCTGAAGCTGTTTAAATTAGGTTTAGACTTAATAGATAAGTTAGAAGTTGAATCGTCTGCTTCATAGATGGTCACAAGCTTTGGCTTGCCCCGTCAATGTCGCGTTAAAGATCAAACCTCAGTTGACATGCTCATAAGAAAAATTTCCAATATTACGTCAAAGATAACCTCCAACTTAAAATATTTGCTAAAAATTTACAATCAGAGACAGAATGCCTGTTTGACAACTAGAATTCAGCTTCTTCTGGACCTAATTCAGGCAAATGACAATAACAGAGTAGTCTTTGGCATATGCAATTGTCAGCGCCTGCTAGCATACACGAGAAGTATTTCATCCTGTATCAGCACTATTTAACTCATAAATGAGAAGGAAGAGTATAGGTACTGATGTTAGTTTGTTCCCAATTAAAACTGAAGCCCTTGTCTAGCCTAGCAGTGGATTTGGCTACTCTGCAAAACGTACGGGACTACTAGTCTCGTTCGTTTTGTTAAGTAAACAGAAAATATACGGGACTAGTAGTCATGTATATTTTCTGAGTGGACTAATCATGAGATTAGTTAACTTTAAACATACGGGACTAGTAGTCCCGTATTTTTTCTGAACCCTTTTTCAAAATCAACCTCTTTTGCCAAAAAACGGTCTATTTTGCTAATTACTTTAAAAAACGGTCTATTTCGCTAATTACTTTATAAAAACGGTCTATTTTGCAAATTTTCCCGATCGGAAAAGATGCTCCAACACATACTCCATCGACACCCACTCTATCACCACCGACAACATCATCACCAACCACACCTCAATCACCCCAGTCAATGACTTCTTCAGCATCATTCTCATCATCATCGAGCCTACAACCTTAAAATTTTAGGAGTTTGAGGGAGGTGTATGAGGTAACTAAAAATCAAGATGATTTAATATTATTTTACTTATTTGTTGGTTGTGAGCCTTTAGACTTTGAAGAGGTGGTTCAAGATCCAAAGTGGAGTTCATCCATGGATGAAGAGATCAAGGCTATTGAGAAGAATGATACCTGAGAGCTTGCAACACTTTTAGAAGGCAAGAAAGCAATTAAAGTCAAATGGGTGTTCAAAGAGAAGAAGAATACAAAAGGAGAAATTAAGAGGCAGAAGGCGAGGTTAGTTGCTAAAGGCTACAAGCAGAAAACTGGAATTGACTGTGACGAGGTATTCTCTCCAGTAGCTCGTCTTGAAACTATAAGGCTGATTATTGCCTTACCAGCTTAGAAAAAATAGTCAATCTATCAACTTGATGTGAAGTCAACATTTTTTAATAGCGTTCTTGAAGAGGAGGTCTATGTAGAACAATCTCTTGGTTATTTCAAGAAAGGAGAAGAATTAAAGGTGTTGAAGTTGAATAAAACTCTTTATGGCTTGAAACAAGCACCAAGAGGTTGGAAGAGCAGAATTGATGAATACTTTCAAGGTGTTGAAGTTGAATAAAGCTCTTTATGGCTTGAAACAAGCACCAAGAGGTTGGAAGAGCAGAATTGATGAATACTTTCACGCTCATAATTTTTCTAAATGTCCTTATGAGCATGCCTTATATACTAAGGTAAATAAAGCTGGAGATATTCTTATTCTATGCTTGTATGTGGATGGTTTAATATTACAGGAAATAATCCACACATGTTCGAGGAGTTCAAAAGCTCCATGGTTCGTGAGTTCGAGATGACAGGCGTCAGACTCATGTCTTATTATCTTGGCATCGAGGTGAAGCAAAGCTAGGATGAAAATTTTATCTCTCGGGAGGGATATGCAAAGACAAATCTTGA